TAATTAATCTATATTACAGGTAATAATATTACAGGTATAAACAAGTACTAGTGCTGATAATGTACGATCGCGTACGCTTGTAACCTGAGAAAGCGATCTTCAACTTGACTTGTAGTTCTTCGTCTACCTTGACCTGACCTCTTGGTGTATTGTCCTGTTTCCCAAAATCTTTTGTATTGCATCAAACACTGTACTTGAGAAATTCCTAAAGCATTTGAGATGTAACGAATGCTCCCGCCATCATCCTGTAAAGAACAGCTTGTGCTACTCCTTCTGGTGTCATATTTTTTAAATACAAAGTGGTAGTAAATAGGTGACAATACAAAAACTGACCGCCTAACTTATAATCAGGTACATTAACACAATAAACTTAAATTAATACTTAGCCACTATTTCACATTAATAACAAAAACGTAAGTGTAAAAATTTTGTTCGCACAACACATCTAAACATGTCCAAACAAGAAAAACACGTTATCGTTAATAAGGCATAAAATACAATTCAAACAAATTAAACAAGTTTTGATCTAACACCAACAAAAAACAAAAAAATCTAAGTGTCCGGTTAATTTTGCTGACGATACAGCCATTCTTGCAGAAAATTTACAAGATCTCCAAAATTACTAAATCTAGTAGGTGAAGCAAGTTATCAGAGAGGCCTTAAAATCAACATTTCAAACACAAGTGGATGGCAGTTGGAAAGAATCAATATAAATCAAGGTCTGATTTCTCTTAATGGAGAGGAGATCGAAAGGGTAAATCATTTCAAATACCTTGGCTGGTTAGATGTTAAATGTAAATGTGACTATCTGATGAAGAGATAATAACAGGATCGAAATATCACGTGAAATATCACGTAAGGCTTTTATGACGTGGGAACCAGTTTTATGCAACAGAAACCTGTCGATGAAATATTCGTAAGAAGGTCCTGAAATGTTTTTTGTGGTCCATCCTATGGTTGTGAGACATGGACGTTAAAAACTTGCTAACAACAAGTAAGAAGCATTCGAATTGTGG